AGCAACCCTGGCCATGCAGGATCCTGCAAGATCCGGCGCTCTGACGGACCCCCGCTTGCATTGACCCCCCGTCTCTTGAGCTGCGAACTTCCCCCCCTCGCCCGCCGCCGGCAACCTTCACAGCGCTCGTTCGACCTCGCCGATGCGGGCGGAAAAAGCAAGGGCCAAACGGAGCAGCGCCACGGGAAGAAGAGGAGAAGGAGGAGGAGGAGGAGGTGGAGAGGAGGTGGAGAAGAGGAGGAAGAGGATGTTGTGATGATGATGATGCTGATGATGATGATGATGATTCTGATGATGGTGATGATGATGATGATGCTGATGATGATGATGATGCTGCTGCTGCTGCTGCTGCTGCTGATGATGATGATGATGATGATGATGATGATGATGATGATGATGATGATGATGATGATGATGATGATGATGATGAGGAGGAGGAGGAGGAGCAGGAGGAGGAAATGACGGAGCAGGAGGAGGAGGAGGAGTTGGAGAAGGAGCAGGAGGAGGAGCAGGAGCAGGAGGAGGAGGATGAGGAAGAGGAGCAGGAGGAGGAGGAGTAGGAGTGGAAGGAGGAGAGGAGGTGAACGGGGAGGAAGACGTGGAAGAGCCTCCTCCTCCTCCTCGTCGCCACCCTCACGGCATGCCGCCGCCGCCTCCTCGCCCGCGACGACGGCCGTGCTCTCCCGCGTCACGCCTGTGGCACCCTCGCGGCGCTCCAGCTCCTCCTCGGCGGGGGCAGGGCTCCCAGTCGCCACGTCGCCGAGTCCCACGTGGCACTCCTGTTCTCCCTCGGCGGGGCCGGGGCTCTCAGTCTCGGCGGGGGCCGGGCTCGCCTTCGCCCCGTCGCCGAGCCCCTCCAGGTGCTCCAACTTGGAGGCCCGACTCACATTTTCCCAATGTTCCGGAGGCTCCCGTGTCAGAGCTCTTTCGCCCTCCATCTCCGAGCAGGGCCCCACTGCATGCTCCTCCTTTCTCTCCTTTTCGGCCCCCTCGCCGTTGTCCCGTTGCTCCGCGTCGGCCTCGCCTCCAGCTGGACGGGGTTGCTCTGGCACCTTCTCTGGCTTAGCTTTATCTTCCTGCTCCTCCTCAACGCGATGACGCTCCGCAGAAGATTCCACCTTGGGGCACTGTTCTGTCACATCGTTGTTCTTCTGCCCAACATCCTCCTCCTCCGCGGCTTGACGGCGCGCCTGTGACATCGCCTCTGTTTCGGCAACGCAATGGCGCTCCAGCTCCGCCTCTTCCGCCACCTCCTGTCCGCTGGCTTCCTCGTCGTCGCCGTTGTCGTCCTTCTCCCCCTCACCCAAAAGATTCCGCCCTGCCTCCGCCTCCACATCCTGGCTCATCTTCGCGCCTTGATTGCGCCGCGCTTCGTCATTCTCATCTCCCTCCTCCTCCTCTTCCGCCAACTCCGCCTCCTCTTCGATAACCTTCGCCTGCTCTTCGGCAACGCGGCGGCGGTCTTGACACTTCTCTTTCTCAGCGCGGCGTGCCTCGACTTCCTCCTCCTCCTCCTCCTCCTCCCCCTCCACCTCCTCCTCCTCGGCCCGGCGTCGCGCCTCTGTACTCGCCGCTTCTTCGGCGACGCGCCGGCGCTCCAACTCCGCCTCTTCCGCCGCCTTCAATCGACGTGCCTCCTCTTCCTCCTCCAGGCGCTTCTGCTCCGTCTCCGCTGCGGCCTTCTGACGTCCCTCTTCCTCCTCCACGCGGCGACTCTCGGCGTCTTCCTCGGCATGGCGCCGCGCCTCTTCTTCGGCGACGCGCTGGCGCTCCAACTCCGCCTCTTCCGCCGCCTTCAGTCGAGGTGCCTCCTCTGCCTCCTCCAGGCGCTTCTGCTCCGCCTCCGCTGCCGCCTTCTGAGGTCCCTCTTCCTCCTCCACGCGGCGACTCTCGGCCTCCTCCTCCTCGGCATGGCGCCTCGCCTCTTCTTCAGCGACGCGCTGGCGCTCCAACTCCGCCTCTTCCGCCGCCTTCAGTCGACATGCCTCCTCTTCCTCCTCCAGGCGCTTCTGCTCCGCCTCCGTGCCGCTTCTGACGTTCTTCCTCTCCACGCGGCGACTCTCGGCCCTCCTCCTCCTCGGCATGGCGCCTCGCCTCTTCTTCAGCGACGCGCTGGCGCTCCAACTCCGCCTCTTCCGCCGCCTTCAATCGGCGGGCCTCCTCTTCCTCCTCCAGGCGCTTCTGCTCCGCCTCCGCTGCCGCCTTCTGACGTTCTTCCTCCTCCAAGCGACGACTCTCGGCCTCCTCCTCAGCATGGCGCATCGCCTCTTCTTCAGCAACGCGCTGGCGCTCCAACTCCGCCTCTTCCGCCGCCTTCAATCGACGTGCCTCCTCTTCCTCCTCCAGGCGCTTCTGCTCCGCCTCCGCTGCCGCCTTCTGACGTTCTTCCTCCTCCAAGCGGCGACTCTCGGCCTCCTCCTCTTCAGCATGGCGCCGGGCATCTTCTTCGGCGACGCGCTGGCGCTCCAACTCCGCCTCTTCCGCCGCCTTCAGTCGACGTGCCTCCTCTGCCTCCTCCAGGCGCTTCTGCTCCGCCTCCGCTGCCGCCTTCTGACGTCCCTCTTCCTCCTCCACGCGGCGACTCTCGGCCTCTTCCTCGGCATGGCGCCGCGCCTCTTCTTCAGCGACGCGCCGGCGCTCCAACTCCGCCTCTTCCGCCGCCTTCAGTCGACGTGTCTCCTCTTCCTCCTCCAGGCGCTTCTGCTCCGCCTCCGCTGCCGCCTTCTGACGTCCCTCTTCCTCCTCCACGCGGCGACTCTCGGCCTCCTCCTCCTCGGCGTGGCGCCGCGCCTCTTCTTCGGCGACGCGCTGGCGCTCCAACTCCGCCTCTTCCGCCGCCTTCAGTCGACGTGCCTCCTCTTCTTCCTCCAGGCGCTTCTGCTCCGCCTCCGCTGCCGCCTTCTGACGTCCCTCTTCCTCCTCCAAGCGGCGACTCTCCGCCTCCTCCTCGGCATGGCGGCCGCGCCTCTTCTTCGGACCGCCGGCGCTCCAACTCCGCCTCTTCCGCCGCCTTCAGTCGACGTGCCTCTCTTCCTCCTCCGGCGCTTCTGCTCCGCCTCCGCTCCGCCTTCTGACGTACCCTTCCTCCTCCACGCGGCGACTCTCGGCCTCCTCCTCGGCATGGCGCCGCGCACTTCTTCGGCGACGCGCTGGCGCTCCAACTCCGCCTCTTCCGCCGCCTCCAGTCGACGTGCCTCCTCTTCCTCCTCCAGGCGCTTCTGCTCCGCCTCCGCTGCCGCCTTCTGACGTCTTCCTCCTCCACGCGGCGACTCTCGGCCTCCTCCTCGGCATGGCGCCGCGCCTCTTCTTCGGCGACGCGCTGGCGCTCCAACTCCGCCTCTTCCGCCGCCTTCAGTCGACGTGCCTCCTCTTCCTCCTCCAGGCGCTTCTGCTCCGCCTCCGCTGCCGCCTTCTGACGTTCTTCCTCCTCCAAGCGACGACTCTCGGCCTCCTCCTCGGCATGGCGCCTCGCCTCTTCTTCAGCGACGCGCCGGCGCTCCAACTCCGCCTCTTCCGCCGCCTTCAGTCGACGGGCCTCCTCTTCCTCCTCCAGGCGCTTCTGCTCCGCCTCCGCTGCCGCCTTCTGACGTTCTTCCTCCTCCAAGCGACGACTCTCGGCCTCCTCCTCGGCATGGCGCCTCGCCTCTTCTTCAGCGACGCGCCGGCGCTCCAACTCCGCCTCTTCCGCCGCCTTCAGTCGACGTGCCTCCTCTTCCTCCTCCAGGCGCTTCTGCTCCGCCTCCGCTGCCGCCTTCTGACGTTCTTCCTCCTCCTCCTCCTCGGCATGGCGCCTCGCTTTGGCCTCCTCCTCCTCCTCCTCCTCCTCCTCTCTGGCCATGCGCTGGCGTTCCGAGTCTGCCTCTTCCGCAGCCATCTTCCCATCGGCGCCCTCCTTGTCCGCCCACTCCGCGCACTTCTGCTCCGACTCCTGCTTCCCAGACCCCCGACGTCGCGACGTTCTCACCACGTCGACCCCCAGGGGTCTGGACCTCTTCCCCGGGGCTGGCTTCTCAGCCTGAGCCGTTCCTTGACGGCCCCGAGGCCCGGGGAGGGACCCCCGAGGCCGCAAATGGCGGAAAACCTACCGTCGTGATTTTGCTCACACAAGCTAGAGGCCTCTTGGATGGGGTCGGAGTAGATGGGGTCGCAAGCTCGCGCCCCATCGCCGATACATCGGCAATGCATCGGTGATGTATCGGCGATGCATCGGCGAAGCACTGGCGATACATCGTCGACGTCAGCGATGCATCGGCGACGTCGACGTGGAGAAATCGACCTCCACGTCGAGCTGCATCGGCGATGCATCGCCGATACGGCGCGCTCCTCCGACCACATCTGCTCCGACCCCATCCCTGCCATCGCTCGGACGTCCATTCCCTGTGCATTTGTCCGTCTCGTGCGTGCTCTTCTTTGCTCGATGATCCAGGATGCTCCTCCAGGGTCCTCGCCGAAGGAAAAAGTGCACACGTCCGAGCGATGCCCGGCATCTGGGAGGCCCAGACAAACGCGAGGAGGCCTGGGCTCGTGGGGCGCAGCCTGACCGCTCCTGGCCGATCCTGGCCGGGCCCCTCTCCTGGGCCCACGGGGCCGGCGCGCGCGCCTCCCTGCTGTGCAGAAGCAGGGAGAGGAGCGCTCAGCACACGGCGACGAGGGGCAACGTCAGGGGAGGGGGGGGGGGCGGGCTCGGGGAGGACACGTCCCCAGGCGTGATCGCGTCGCCAAAAAGATCAGGGCGGGAGGTTTTGGTCCAATGTCGGCCTCGGGGGGCCCTCGCCGGGCCTCGGGACCGTCAAACAGAAAAACTCGGAATGAAAGACCGGTCCCAGGCAACGGCTCGGGCCTGGCATCGGCAACACGTCGCCGGGGGCAAGCTCAGGGAGGCAGCATCGGCCTGGGATCGGCAACGCATCGCCAACAGATCCGACAGATCTGCAGATGCGCCTCCAGTGGCGAGCCCACCCGCTCTCAGGGAGGAAACATCGGCCTGGAGTCGGCAGCACATCGCCGATGGATCCGATAGATCGGCGATGCGCCCCCAGTGGCGAACCCACCCGCTCTCAGGGAGGAAACATCGGCCTGGAGTCGGCAGCACATCGCCGATGGATCCGATAGATCGGCGATGCGCCCCCAAATGGCGAAGCCGCCCGCTCCCGGACGGGGCGGGGCTGTTGGGCCCCTCTCTGTCGGCGATCACCGGGCGGTCGGGGGCCGACGCCTCCCCGCCCGAGCCGATGCCCCTCTCACGTTGCCCCTGAACCGACCCTGCCGAGGATCCTCAGAACGCGTGTTGGCCGTTAGCCCCAGCGTGTGTTTGTCCATCGAGGCCCTTCTGTACGACGGGCGATGTAATGATCCACTGGTCGGGCTGAAGGGGGTACACACACACACACACACACACACGCACACACACACACACACGCACACACGCACACACGCACACACGCACACACGCACACACGCACACACGCACACACGCACACACGCACACACACACACACACACACACGCACACACACACACACACACACACACGCACACAAACACACACACACATTGGGCTAACACACGTCCTGAGGACCATCGACCCTGGGCCCACGATGGGGCCGACCAGGACCAGTGAGGTGGCCAGGGGGCGCCCCCCGACGCAGCTCCTCGCCCGCGCCAGCCGCGCCGCCGCCGCCGAGCCTCACCTGGTCGGCGCGAGGCGCGTCGAACCCGACCGACGCCTCGTGGCTGCTCGGGGCCTCCGTGCCGGCTTTCTCTGCGCCGCCGCCGAGCCCCACGGCGACGGCGCGAGGCGCGTCGAAGCCCACGGACGTTTCGTGGCTGCTCGGGGCATCCGCCGCGCTGGGCCTCTCCGCGCCGGACGCCTCCGCGGCGCCCTCGGCCTCGCCCGGCTCCACCCGCTGCGAGGCCGCCTGCGAAGGGACCGGCGCCTGGCTCGCCCGCTCGGGGGGGATCGCCGCGTCGAGCGCCCCCAGCGCCATGTCCGCGGCGAGCGAGCTCGCTGCAGTGCCCTCCAGCTCCTGCGTCGCCCCGGTGTCCTCGGCCTGGCTGTCGGCCGCGGGCTCCGAGAGGAAGAGGCGGCCGACCCCACGGAGGACTGCGGCCGCGTCCGCGGTGCCGCCCGCCCCCGCGACGCGCAGCTCGGCCGTCTCGGCGCCGCCGACGTAGTCGGCGATGCCTGGCGGGGCCGCGCCGCTCGCGCACAGCGCCGCCACGTCCACGCGGAAGCGCAGGGGCCAGCCCGCGGCCACGGCAGCCTCTGGGGAGGCGATGTACGCCCAGGGCACCTCCACGACGGCCTCCTCGCCGCCGTCGCCCGGCAACGACCCGTCGAGCACCACGGCGTGGGGGCTGAAGGTGGCCGCGCAGGCGTCGAGCCGCAGGTCGCCCAGGGCGACAGAGCACTCCTGCGCGGTGGTGACCTCCCGCGAACGCTTGCTGAGCTGCAGGGCCAGGTCGACCCCCCAGTCCAGCAGCTCCTCCGCGCTCACCGCGCGCAGCTTCTCGGAGGTGCCCGCGCCCATGAGGCGGTCCAGGCGCGCGGGCGCCGCCGCCGGTCCGCCGCAGCTGGTCCTGCGGAGCCCCCTCCACAGGATCTCAAGCAGCACCTCGTGAAGCTTCGGGTCGGGCCGCTCGTGCACGAGGACGTCCACCAAGCGCGACGCCCCCGGCTCGCCCGCTTCCGCGAGCAGCTGGCCCTCGTACAGCGAGCGGAGCTCCGAGGGCGCCTCCTCCAGGAGCACCGACAGAAGCTCGGCCAGGCCACGCCTCGCCAGCAGCGCCGCGAAGGACGCGGCCTGCACCCGCGGCGTCGCAGGGCCCGCCGCGGCGGGCGACGCGGTCGCGGCGAGCAGCAGGACGGGGGCCAGGTCGGCGCCCTCGAGGAGCCCCTTGGACAGCGCCGCGCCCATGCCGGGGATGACCGCCTGCACGGAGTGGCAAAGCACCGTGGCCACGGCGGCCAGGCGCATGAGGCGCTCAGCGCTGCCGTCGGCGTCCGCGAGGCCCCCCTCGGACGCCTCGCCGAAGGCGCCCGCCGCGAGCAGCAGGGCAGCCTTCAGGCCCTCGAGGGCCGCGGGGCCCCCGCCCGCGGGCGTGGCCACGAGGGCGCGGGCGAGGCCCTTGTCCATGCCCGCGGCGCCCGCGAGCGCCGTCGCCGCGGCGAAGGCCTCCTCCCACCGCGAGCCGCGGCACGCGGTGGCCAGGAGCTCCGTGAGGCGCGCCAGCGCCGGCTGCGGCAGGGCCCCCTCCGCGCCCAGGGCCTCGCCCTGCGACGCCTCCGCGGCCCAGGCGGCCAGCGCCTCGTAGCCGCCGCCGCCGCCGCCCCTGGCGGCAAGGAGGCGCCCCAGCGCCTCCAGGCCAGAGCCTTGGGGGAGGGGCAGGCCAGAGTCTCGGGGGGAGGCAGGCCGCCAGAGTTTCCTCCTCACCCTCCTCCTCCTCCTCCCCCCTTCTCCTCCTCCGCCTCCCCCTCCTCCTCCTCCTTCTCCTCCCTCCTCCTCCTCCTGCTCCTCCTGCTCCTCCTCCTCCTCCTCCTCCTCCTCCTCCTCCTCCTCCCTCTTCCTCCTCCTCCTTCTTCTCCTGCTGCCTCTCCTCCTCCTCCTCCTCCTCCTCCTCCTCCTCCTCCTCCTCCTCCTCCTTCTCTTCCTTCTCCTCCTCCTCCTCCTCCTCCTCTCCTCCTCCTCCCTCCTCTCCTCCTCCTCCTCCTCCTCCTCCTCCTCCTCCTCCTCCTCTAAGACACCCTCCCTCCGACCTCTCTCTTTCCCTCCCGCGTCTCCTCCCTCCTCCTCCTGCTCCTCTTCCTCCTCTTTCTTCTTCTGCTCTCAAGCACATGCGGCCCGAGTTCCATCCGTAGCATTTGGCTTTGCGGTGGGCCCCAGGTCGCGTCCAATGCCTTCATGTGGCGCTTGGGGGGCTCCGATTCCTGCCGCGGCTTCGTCCTTGCAGCATCTGTCGGATGGCGAGGCTGGGCGAATCCTTTGAGTACGGTTTTCAAGTTGCTGGGTTTTGTTCGGCATGGAGTTGTGCTTATTGCGCTCGGGGGATACCCATAGGGTCTGAAGCGCATGCCTGCGTTTCCACTCCCTGTGTAATACCGCACCAAGTACAAGATGCTTATCCACATGGTGGTACTCGTTCTTTAGGGTCGGAACCACCCGTGGGCCGTTGTTTTTCGCCTTCGTCCTCTGCTGCTCGAGGTGTCTGGTACTTGCATATATATGTTAAACTGTTGCTCGCGGGCGAAACTATGTCAATGTTGTTTCACGCTCCAGAGACTCATCCCACGTGCGGAACATCGCCGAGGAACACGAGGTGCGTCCAACAAGGTAAAGGGCTTGTCCTCAATATTATTTCAATACTGCTCCTATGTTTGGCGGCGCGCACAAGGGGGCATGGGGAGGGGGGAAAACTTCTTAGAAAGAGGCTGCTTCTTAGAAGGCGCCGGCCCTGCATCTATAGACAAGGCCCGCGCCTTCTAAGGAGCAGGGTGCTTCTAAGAAGCCGTCCCCCCCTCCCCAAACCCGCTTTTCTGCGCGTGGTTGACATGTGGCGGGCTGTGACGTTTCACAATGTCTGTTGCTTGATGGTGGCTTCTGGGTGTGCGTTGTATTGCCTGCACTATTTCCTAAATCGCCGTGGTATTTCACTGGGAGGTTGTGGTTGTCAGCCGTGGTGGTTCGTGGAGTTCGTCTTCGGGTGCGTGCGCGTGCTCATCCATGTCGTCTCGTAGCTCTGCGAGCTCAGGGCACGTGTGCTGTAGTATCCCATGGAATTGCTACGCGATGGCTGTAACTCATGTAACTCACCTTCCTCTGTTATTTTTGGCGTTGGGCAGACCTGGATCGTAAGCTCGTGGTGTTCCCTTTTGCTTTCCCTCCTCCTCCTCCTCCTCCTCCTCCTCCTCCTCCCTCTTCTCCTCCTCCT